TAACAGATATTACAGCATGTGATCCAACGAGTTTGAAACTAAATTGGTAAGATATCAATCAAATTAATATATTAATCAAGCTAGATATTTAGTACTTTTCAACGTCTACATAGTATAAAGTAATTTTATTTTACTTTAAATAACCATTAGAAAAAACAGCATAAAGTTTTTTTGTCCATTTTTTTGCAACTATAAATTAACTCTATAATAAATTAAAAATGTCAAACTCATTAACTTATCAAGAATGAACTACAAAAACATTATTCTTGCTTCATTCAATTTATTTTCACTAGAATTTTAATATTAATAGGGAACTTAACCCCATCACATAAAACTAATAAAACTAATTAATATGGAACTTACCAAATAAAGCATGGTAGGAATCAGACACAATCAGACAAAGCCTCCCACGCACCAATATTAGACACAATCAATAAAAACTGACAATATGCAGGTTCAATATTATCAATAAAAACTGACAATTGAGTTTTCATGATGAAATATTAGACGCACTTATACCCAGCTTCCAATATGCAGGTTCAACATTATCACTTTCTGCACAATCAAGGGGCCGAAAACAGTCTAACCATAAAGGAAGAATAGATATACAAATACATTGTTATTAATCACTAGTGCAGAAAGGGCTTTAGACGTCTGTTATTTTGGCCTTTTGATGTCCGACATGCACCCGACGTCTTTGTGGGTGACGTTAACCAAACGTCTGTTGCGCAAGGTTGGACGTCTATATGGCTGAACGGGTTATTTAGGGTTACGGGGTTTGGACGTCTGTTTGTGCACTGCCACACGTCTAAGGGTCACTCAATGAAAATTATAATAACAAGTCAAAAACATGCATACACAAAACGCTATCAAAAAATTATTAACAAAGAAACTAACCTGAAGAGCAGATTCAAAATGAAAATGGAGGGAAATGGAGGAGTGCACAACCTAAAACGTAGGCCAAAAAACGCAGCCCAAGAACACGGAACAAACTACAACAAAACGCACCGAAAACAATTTTTAATCGGTCCAAATGAAAGATATTTCATCACTGAACAATTTAATCGGAATAAAAGTAAGATTAAATGGTCCAAAACAGATAAAAAACAACCTGGAAATGCAAGGCGCAGAGGGAACTCTCACGGAAGTGCGTAACTCCTCGCGGGTTCGCGTTTTGATATATATGTCCTTCTTTTAAACGTCTTTTAAACGTCCGTTCTTGAGGGGACGTCCGGCCCCCTCCAGATTGGACGTTCAAAAGGCTGACGGGTTCAACTACCCTGTCAGCCTCTTGAACGTCCGTTCTGGAGGGGGCCGGACGTCTACAATATTATAGACGTTCGCCCCCTCCAGAACGGACGTTCAAGAGACTGACGAGGGAGTTGAAGAGTTGATTGCTTCAGCCTTTTGAACGTCCGTTCTAGATGGGGCGGACGTCTATAATATTGTAGACGTCCGTCCCCCTCCAGAACGGACATTCAGAAGGGTTAAGCAATCAACTCTTCAACTCCCCCCGTCAGCCTATTGAACGTCCGTTCCGGAGGGGCCGGACGTCTACAATATTATAGACGTCCGTCCCCATCCAGAACGGACGTTCAGAAGGCTTAAGCAATCAACTCTTCAACTCCCCCCGTCAGCCTATTGAACGTCCGTTCCGGAGGTGGCCGAACGTCTACAATATTATAGATGTCCGTCCCCCTCCAGAACAGACGTTCAATAGGCTGAAGCAATGAACTCTTCAACCCCCCGTCAGCCTTTTGAACGTCCGTTAGAGGGGGCCAGACGTCTATAATATTATAGATGGCCGTCCCCATCCAGAACGGACGTCTCCACACTCAAATATATTCATTTATGCCACTGGTCAATTATTTACGTTGGGGTTTTGGTGGACCGACGTCTATTGGGTGACGTTAAAGGCCAATTCTGCACTAGTTCTCAAGAACGTGAGAGGATCCTTGTTATTAGCCACATCGTTGTTCTTTCACTTCTTCACAGTTCAAGAATGTTCCAAATCCACAGATTTGGATGTCTTATATAACTAAATTTGGAAGCAACAAAAGGAAAGGTTTTGGTTAAACTTGAAGCCTTAGATACACAACTACTTTAATTTGTGTCAAGTATTCATGTCTGATTCGTATGCATATCAGATACCACAAATTTAAAAGAGTTTCAGCAACATCGCACTATAGAGAAATCATAACCGAAAACCCCACAATCCCCATAACCGCCACACTAAAAGAAAATTCCAGTAGAGAACTCGGGTCATCAATTCGATCAACCCCGAGAAGGGAAACGATAAATAAGAATTAAATTTTAACATTATAAAATCCAGAAACAGTGAACCAACAGAAAACCCACAAAATACCTGAAAAGGGGTAAGAAAACCCTAGAGCTTTAAGGGAAGGGGACTGAAAGGAAGGGCTTCAGGGACAACAATTCGGTCCTTCGGCACCTAAAACCAAATGGGTAGGAAAAAGGCAGTGGGCGGTGGTGGCACGACAGCAAGGGCAGTGAAGGCGTAACGAGAAATCAGTGAATGAGTGGTGGTGGAGGCGCAACAAGGGAGGGGAGCAGTGCTGGAGAACACGAGCAGTGACCATGGCGACGAACGTGGCGGTGGAGACGAGACGAGGGAGGCGCGAGTAGTGGTGGAGAATGAGTAGTGGTGGTGGAGAGCAAAGTGCAGACGAAGAAGAAAATTGTTCGCGTAGAAACTGTTAAAAATCCTAGAAAGAGCTACTACTTCGATTCTTTGTGAACTCGATGCCTAAAGGTGTAGTATTCAAAATATTTGACATTATAGGCTTCGGTTAGGCGCTTAACCGAAGCAAAATATGTTTTATATGTCTCGGTTTCACAAACAACAGAGGCAGTAGCACCTTGACAAAAAAAGGTTTGATATGAAAGGTCAGAATTAAGTCAAAACTGGAGGGTTATACGCTTCGGGTGGTTATTTAACTGAGGTAATAGAGTTGTTATGCCTCGGTTCCCCTTGAACCGAGACCTATAAGTTTGCTAAAATTGCAAAAGTACCACCGAGTTTTTATATGCTTCGATTTTCTACAAATCGAGGCGTATTAGCCGCGTTAGTATCCCAATTTTGCACTAGTGTCATTGCTGGCACATTGGAATTTTCCAGACTACGACAACAAATTGTGCTACCGCCTAAAGAAATAGGACTTTAGAAAAGGGTGGTGTCCTATACACAGGTGGTTCAATCATCGCACATGAGCATGTCATTTGTATGGAACAAATCTTCATTCATTTCCTATCAATTATGATATAACTTATGTATTTTAAAATTGATATATATATATATATATATATATATATATATATATATATCACTTCTATAATTGTATAGACAAGAGAGCTTGGATGGGTTGTCCACGTTGATGAGGTGTTTCAATAGATTCTTCTTCAAAAGGACACTAACACATATGTTGATGAGAGGTCTCAAAAGACTATTGTAAGCCAATTGTTTAACAAAATTCAAACTTTTAATATTTATTTCCTTTTAAACTTTCAACTTAATGTAACTAAATCATTGTATATTATTTAACAAGAATATTTCTCTACTAGACTCTCACAGGCCAGATCAAAGGTGATATCTACTCATGATGCTGCATCACAATAAATGTTGATGACGATCACATCATTAGGACACAATATATTGGGTTGATGTCGTCAGTCAGTGGAAAGAAGAAATAAAAACTATATGGGGTAGGATAATTGTTGCTAATTACAGTGCTGGAAAAGGCATATTGAAGCACTAACCATCTGAAGCCAACACTTCTGAAGAGAGCAATGTCGTCCTTAGACAACAACTACAAGCTCATGATTAAGCTTATGATATACTTCTTTAGAGATTTGAGAATCTTGAAAATCTGGTCATAACATTGTTGCTTCAACAAGGACATAATTAATCCACCCTATCATCGTCCTAGCAACAATGCCCACCAATGTAGTCCACCCTAGTGCAATCATCTCCCCAACAATGGTCGCCTCTCTAGCAACAACCTCAACAACATGAAAAAGAAGAACATGATTCAAATGACTATAATAATTATTAAGACTTGATGAACTACTTTTACAAGCATTTATGTAGACTTTTATTTTAAGACATATTTGTTTTATTTACTGCTTAAATGTTTCAATGATACAATAACTATGCAATTTAATTATATGAATTATGTTTCATGATTGCACTATAAGAATTTTCATAATTAATTACATTGTTTGAATTGAGAATTATGCGTGCATTAAGTGTTTTCTTTGTTGGTTTATTGTGGTGGGTAATGAATGTTACCATGTGCACATAAGTCATTATTGAACGTTATCAATGGATTTACGGACGCATCAGTTCGACAATAATATACACGTATTGACTTTATTATTGCCGGATCCTGACTTTCGATAATTTAACTATAACCTATGACCATTACTGGCGAACTTTGGTCGTCGGTAATTACCGAAGACCTTGGACTGTCGATAATGTTATCCATTTTCTTCTTCCGTTATCGATGGTCTATGGTCATCAATACCGAGGACCATTATCCCTCAATAAGTAATGACGGTCATCGATAATTACTTATGTTCTATGGTTTTCAATATTTACCGACAAATTTTTTGTCGGTAATTACCGAAGGTCATTATCCGTCAATAATTTTTTTTGATAAGCGACTTATTGATAAATTTCTGACCATCAAAAAATTAACATTATTGACAAATCTTAGTTATTACCGAGGAATTTTGACTATTGGTAAATAATTTTTTTTTTGTAATGTTAAGACATATGAAATTGATGTGTCTTTATTTTTATATGATACTTCACTTTTTTATTTCTATATGTAAAATTAAAATTTAGACTTACACCGGAATTTCTAACCTAATATATTTCTTATCATATTTCCATTATCTTGAAACCATAATAAGTTTCCTCCAAGACTAATAATTGACATGTCCGAGAAAACCTTAAGGCATGTGACATATGGTGAGAATAAAAGTAGAGCAGAAGCAACTTTCTATATTAAATTATAAAAGAGAAATACAGATAGGCACTCCTACATCACTATTATACAAGTATATGACTCACTAGAAACTGTTCATCAGGATAAACAAAGCTAAAACTTTGATTGTACAAAATGACTTTGACCCCACAGATCATCGTAGATTGGAGTAAAATATTCAGATTCTACCACGGAGGGAACAAATAGCTCGCTTGGAACGTGGGACACGTCAGCCACATATGGTTGTGACCAAAAGTTATCGAATGTTACCCCTCCATTTGCATCCAGAAAGCTGCCAAAGTCATTGTCCACAATGACACTTTCACTCAATGATTGATGCGGAGATAATGCACAAGAATCAACCATCTCTGTAGAAGTAGTATCTCTTGACACTACTTCACAAGGTTCACCATCAAGATTCAGTTCTTTCCAGAAACTTTCATTCACATACGAATCAAGAAAACCCAAGTCATCTTCAAACAACAAATTTTCCATGCTAGTAAAACTGGAAAAATCTGAAGTTATGGAGGAAAACTCGCTGCTGGAGGATGAAACCGGCGAGAATGATGAATTATCTGAAATCTGGGAAGTGGCTGGAAGTCTAACAGTAACACCATTTTTGTTGGATTCTTTTTTCTTTGATTTGGAGGCTCTGGCATCTTCATTTGTAGCTGTATTTTGTTGATACTTTTTCTTGAGAGTGGTGTGCCAATGGTTTTTTATTTCGTTATCTGTTCTTCCTGGTAACTCAGCAGCAATAGCGGACCATCTGCAAGTGAAGGAATCATCGGATATTAGCTTCCATTTCAATTAACAACTTGCAACTCCATTGGTATTTTGATATGAGGGTTAGATTTCATTGTATTGCAGCAAAAGGAGGTGATTATATATACCTGTTACCAAGAGTTTTGAGCATTCTGATGATGCATTCTTCTTCTTGTGGAGTGAAGTTCCCTCTTTTGAGATTAGGCCTTAGATAGTTCATCCATCTCAATCTGCAACTTTTCCCACACCTTGCAAGACCTGAAAAGCATCAGATAGAGAGTTATTACTTTTTTCTCCTATGTCAATAAATCCTGACTAACAATTTGGCTTAATTTTGAAAAGTGGTTGTTTAAACATATACCTGCAAACTTGGGAAGTTGGCGCCAATTCCAGCAGCCATACCTAGTGACATAAGCAACTAACTTCATATCTTCTTCGGGAGTCCAAGTACCCTTTCTCAGTCCACTTTTGTCACAAGACGGAGTTCTCACCATCTTTGTGAAAAACAAGTGAACTCAGTGAGTTGTGTGGGAATTTCAGTTTGTGTTTGAGTGTTGATGTGAGAGGATGTTGCAATTCTGTTGGTAAGCGAGGGTAAGCTACTTATTTATATGGTGAACGCGTTCACATCCAAAACGTGTTTCATGTTCTATACTATTGTTTTATACTATATTAAATTCATTCAGATTAACATAAGATTAGTGTCACTTCCGAACGAGGGTCTTTCTCAGCAGGCCCTGATAACCTGTCACGTTGTACGATAAACGGTCAAAATTGTGTTAAGCTTTTCTTTAATATGTAAAGATGGTGACATAGTGGTACCTAGTATCTTCCGGGAACGTAACTCGAAACATCAACCCTTCTTATTAAAATCAACACACGTGAGGAAAATACACTGGCACAAAACACAACCTACAAACAGTAAACTGACCGTAAGTCAACAGGTGTCCCCAATATTATAAAATATTTTTTTTCTCTTCTTATTGTTCTTGGAATATGTTTGCTTTTTCAGTTTAAAGACAAAAATAATTATTACTGAGTTATAAATTATTTTATAAACTAAAAATTAATATTAAAAATCAATTTAAAATTCATAATAATACAAATTCTAATCATAAATCAATTATACCTTTCTATTAATAATAAATATTATTTTAAATAATAATAATATTATATTTAGTTTATAAAATAATATTTATCTTAATTAATATAATAATTAATTGTTTTTATCTCTATATTTGATTTTTATTTAATAATTTTTTGTAGTGTCTGTTTGTGAATTATTACGAATTTGGGAGAGTGGATTTAAGAAGAAAAGAAAGCAAAGTTGAGTTTGTTTAGATTAAGAAAGAGATGGTATAATTTAAGTTGATTTGATACAATAGTTTGTGTATGATGTAATAAATTTGATAAATTATGTTTTAATAGATAATATTAGATAATTACTATTTTATTTTTGAAAATAAATGTAATATAAATTTAAATGTAATTATTATTATTATTATTATTATTATTATTATTATTATAAAATTAAATAACTACAAATAAATGTGAGTTATAATATAAAATTGAAAAAATTAAAATTTTTAAATTAAAAAATGTTAACAAAAAAACCACCATGTGAACAGGACAAGACAAGACAACCAGTGGAAGCAGCATCGACGAACTAGACCACCACACTTCCACTCCCTCTTTTCAATCTTCCTCTACATATTAAACACCTAAAAGCAAACACATTCCAGATTATAAAGCTGTGTTCATACGAGGGGAAAACACTCTTACAGAGAAATTGCAAGGAAAGATTTGCGAGATTAGTTTTGTTCGTTTCTGTTGATCTACGAAGATTTGCGAAGACAAAAATGCGCTGATTTACGAGATATTCTTATTTTAACCATCTCGTTTTCTTGTCCGGATTTGCGGTGATTTACATGAAAATATCATATCTGTCCTCGGTGATTTGTAAAATGCTACGAAAATATTAATACTTTAAAATGTTATTTGAGCTTTGAATTTGAAAACGAGAATGGGATTGATGTTGAGGAGGTTGATGGATGAAGAAAAGTGTAGTCGTTCTTGATGATCGTGTATTCAATTTCACAAATCTTGTATCCGATTCCACTGCTTAGAACAAATTCCACACGGGTTGTATTTGGTTTTGGCCTTCTTTTATTCGGTTCCAAAGCTGATTATATTATAAACAAAAACACTCAAACTGCTGCATACGAAAATCGGAAATTGCGGAAATTCTTGCGTGCGAAGCAGCCTATCCAACGATTGAGTAGGCCATCAATGTCGTCGGAGAGGTTGAGCGAGAGGACGAGGTCAGCGACTTCCGAAACTATCCAGCCCTTCTGGAAGTTGTAGCAGGTGGCGATGTTATCCTTGCGGAGGTCGGAGATTTTGGTGGAGACCTCGTGCAGGCCTCTATAGTATAGTCGATGAAGCCTTCTTTCGTTTCCTTGAATGCCTTATTCGATTTCTTCTTGCAGGAAATGGAATTATTCAGTGAGTGCACACGGTGGTGCCAGCTAGTTGGAGACAGTGAGTTGCGATGGTGGCCATGGACTATGACATGGAGGGAGTGTAGTTGGAAGAATGGATTGTGGATAACTGTGCTCACAAAAATTAGATATTTTTTTTTTTGCATCTTCCTCCGGCAATTAGATATATGTTATATCTTCTTCCTTTCATCTTCTTTTTACATTTTCACTTTCAATATTAAAAAAATATTACAACTTGGTATTAAAATCATATTGTAGTAAATTATATTACAAAAATATTATATTTAAAATTAAATTTATTTTACTAAATTACAATTTTTATACATTTTTAAAATTAATTTTAATAATTAATGTTAATTTTTTACTCTTTATAAACATTTTTACAATTAAATATAACATTAACAAATATTATTTTATGTTACTTTAATAACTAGGGACATTTTGGTAATCTTCAATTTCTACTAATTAACCTAATTTTTTAAATATATCACATCAATCAAATCCTACACTAATTCTCATAAACTTTATTTCCAAATCTACCTCAATTATCCACAAATCCACTCCAAAAAACAACAAAAAAATTACCTTCAAATCCATTCAAATCATCTTCCCAAAATCACTACAAAATAACAAAGCATGAGTGAAAAGAAACACTTTGGAACTTAAAATATATCAACATATATTTCAGAAATAAAAACGATATTCAAAATAATAATTTTCAAGAAACTGAACGTAATAATTAAGGAAAAGTACTTTTCTTTTTTCTGAATGTAAAACTGAAATTAGACTTATCCGTAAAATTGGTATTGTATTGTGTGTTTGGGAGATCCAATCCTGCCTTCTTTTTCTTCCTATACTCTTTAATCTGGGAGCCGTTTTTTTTATTTCTGATGCTGACATCATTAATAATGAAGATTTCATAAAGATACACTTTATTTTTTTCTAACTATTTTATATTATGATATTTACATATTGTTCATTGGAAACAAGATTAAAATCATCTAAAATTTTAAGCATTTATTATTATTATTCAACATAGTTCTTTTCTTAGAAAAAATGTTAACTATCGAACCAGAAAGTTACGCTGTAACTTTACTAAAGTAATATTTTTTCTTTTTCTTTTTAAGGTAATCTCCTATGGAAGCATCTAATTTAGGCCAAACGAATATTCAAGTCGTCGTTTAATTCGTCACTTAAATATTCTGAGAAAATAATATTAAGTATTACGTATACATATATTATGTTAACGTATCCATTATTATGTTATATTTTCATGAATGGTCTCTTTTCATTAGTAAAAAAAATTATATAAATAGTGATACTAGGATGTAATAACTGATTTATACAAACTTAAACAACTAAGAATATTTTAAATTAGAAAATTAATCTAGCCGTTGTCCTCTCTTTATTTGAACTAATGTTGTATCCATTCTTGCGGCCCATTATTGATGTGTAGTTGTGTTTTAGCCAAGTATATATATATATATATATATATATATATATATATATATATATATATATATATATATATATGTGTATATATATGTGTGTATATATATATGTGTGTATATATATATGTGTGTATATATATATGTGTGTATATATATATGTGTGTGTATATATATATGTGTGTATATATATATGTGTGTATATATATATGTGTGTATATATATATGTGTATAAATATATAGATATATATATATATATATTTGGTTCGGAACAGATAGACATATTTGCATAGATCAAAAGTTGGTTTAGATTGATGATCGAGATGATTTCACTTAAAATAAAGATTGAAACGAGTTTAATTGATATCATTGAGCTAATTCCTTTCGAAAATTTCAGCTGAATTTTGGTGAAGTCGATCTTGATTAAGTTTCGGTCAAAATCGACAAATTTGATCAAATATACCTCAACTGAAATTCGAACAAATTTATTCGAGTTATTCCTAACTGTATTTCGAACGGTAAATTTTTATCAAGTCAGTATTGACTGAAATTCAACTTAATTCGTTTGAGTCAGTCCCAAACGAAATTTAGTTGAGTGTCCTAACTAAAAGTTTGCTAAAATTTGACCCATCACTTAAAAATGGAAGATAAGACTAAAAGCTAAGAAAAATTAAGAGAACACTAACATTTAAAAGTGCCTTCCATGGGCCAAGTTGAACGAGTTAGGGGATAATACAAAAGATTCTATAAACTAGGGCAATCTTATACAATCTAAAAACTCTATATTAGCTTAAAAGAAGACAATATCCTAAATTTTTTGGAATAGGGAGCATAACCTCTTCTAAAAGGTCAAATGATGACCTCTCTTATCTTTTTCATCTACCATAGTGATGACCCACACCTAAAGTGATGAACCTTGATTTTAATGCTCCAACTATAAGAAAATCCTATATTATTGACAAATACAATTCCTCAATAACAGTAAAATGTAGGTGATAATTCAAGTTTATTGATGAACTACCAATGGCCAAAAATTCTTTGGTAATTATCGATAATCTAAAAATTGATTGATAAATATTCATTGGTACTTATAGGTGAATTACGGTCCTTAGTAAAATCTGACAGTAAATGTCACAATTTTGTCTTCCTTCTCCTCCTCTTTTCCTTTTTCCTTTTTTTCTTCTTATTCCCCCTCTCCACTCCTCATCCTCATCTCCCCCATCATTGTCACCTTGTCTCGATTGCCACCAACATCGCCCCATCTATCATCGCCTGCTCTTCCTCCTACTCTTCCTTTTTTTTTTTCTTTTCTTTTTCTTAGTCCTCCAACTCTAGCCACCACCATCAACGAGCCGCCATTGCGAGACATTATCATTGTTGTTGCACATTCTTCTCTTCATTTTTTCTCTTTCTCCTCCTTCCTTTCTTCTTCTTCTTCTAATTGGTCTCCTCTTTATATACAATTTTTTCATTAAATTTAATGAAATTTTACTACTTATTTTACCAATGAATATTTTTCGATAATAAAAATTACAAATTACTAATAAAATTTATTAACATAATTGTTTAT